TGAGGATTGGGGATACATGAAGGTGCTTCCTCCTATGTACATATACAGCTGTACTCTATTTAGCAAAGATTTGATTCCGCAAAGTAATTCATAAAGATGTAAGCTGAAGTTTAGACCTATGCTAGCAGGTACATTACAGTATTTACTGCAGTTTGATCAACCTGTGATAGACAAAACACATCAGTATATAAAAGGCCTCATCATTTACAACTGTAGGGCATAAGAGATGTCATAATATGTGTGGACCCCAATTACAGAAAGTAGAAAAAAATATCTAGGAATATTGATATAATCAGGAGACAATGTCAAAGAAGAGGCCGATAAAAAAAAAACTATTCCAGCACTTCTGTGTCCATTAGTTCTTGTGATTGGGTGTGGGGAGGGCTCAGTGATGCCCTCTGGAAGGTCTACAAAGAGCTGTAGCATTCTGTCAGGAAAACTTTTTTCTCTTGACGGCCAGAGATTAGATTTCTACCACTGATTATGGTGAATGGTTTGTATTTCTGCTACATGTTATATATGTGGTGGCAGTGTTTGTGCTTGCAAGGGGTTACCTGCAGAGTTGCTTAAAGCATTATTAAATCTCTGCCAACATTTTTTTTAATCACTTCCCACTGACCTGGAGCATATATATGGCCTCTCAGCAGGTGGGCTCTACTGCCAAGCGGCCACATATCTGTGGCCCTAGGTATACACTTTACTGTGCTAAGTGCACGCTCCCAGCACAGCAACAAATAGGTACCAGAAAGCATCCAATACATACAATCAAGGACTTTCTGACCACAGAAGCCACATGACCAGAATGCCCGACTCCGCCCTTCGGCATTCAGAACCTCTTAAAGGGCCGGGAGGCAGAGGTGGCATGAAGAGGTTAATAAGTACATTTTAGACATTATGGCAGACTTACCTAGCAAGTGATCCCTTCCAGCACTACACTGCCAGCAATCCCTTCAATCATTGGGCATTGCCATCTTCTCCTGGTCTTTCCTCAGGGAGAAGACGGCAGGGAGAAGGGTTTTGACAGAGGAGACCAATGGTGTCTCTTCTGTCATTAAAATCTCACCTGTTAGCAGTTTGTCTTTTTTTTTATAGATTTAATTCCACTTTAAGCCTCAGTGTTGATCACTGAAACTGTGGTCATACATGCTTTGATAAATGATTGATTTATTTTCCAATCAATCTCCTCTGATCAGAATAATTGTTCTATAGTCATCAACCAATTCGATTGCTATGCCACGGGAAGTTTTGATTAAAATAACATCATAACTTACAATTGTACCTCTGTTTCTGTTACGTAATCTCATAATCTGATTGACTGAAATATGATTGTATTCCTGAACAAATTGTGCACAATTAGTGCTGCTGACCTATTTGAAATTCTCTTAGGATGATCCTCCTGAGGAAGTCACATGTCTCGGTGACGAAACGCATAGGGGTGGGGCTATTTGGATGATGCAATACCAGCAATCTGTTTTTTATTGATGCTTGGACATGGTAGTGCACTCTATGTACATGGTAATGTGGGTGATGCACTATGGGCAGTTTTCTTTCTTGATGCTGCATTGTGGAGGAGAGGAGCATGAGTGACATCCCTCTTAGATTGTAAGCTCTAACGAGCAGGGCCCTCTGTTTCCTCTTGTACCAAATTGTATTGTAACTGTAATGTCTACCTTCATTTTGTAAAGCTCTGCGCATATATATATATATATATATATATATATGTAATAATTATTATACAGGATTTATATAGCGCCAACAGTTTGTGCAGCTCTTTAAAAAATGAAGGTAGACATTACAGTTACACTACAATTTGGTACAAGAGGAAACAGGGGGCCCTGCTTGATAGAGCTTACAATCTAGGAGGAAGGGTTGAGTGATACAAAAGGTAATAGCTGTGGGGGGGGATGAGCTGATGAAGGAAACAAATGACGGTTTACTAGGTAGAAGCAGGATAGGCTGCTTTAAAGAGAAAGGTTTTATATATATATTATATATATATATATATATATATATATATATATATCCTGTATTATAACAATAATATCTAGCAGAGCATACAGGATACCATTTAAAGGGGACTAGTATTGTAATTTGCTGAAGGTGCACTGGTGCTGCAAACCGCTGAATATAGGAGATTCTATTTAAAGAGGATCACTGCTAAGACCTGTAGAGCATACAGGATTCCATTTAAAAAGTACCTGAGACAAATTTGGGCTTGCATTTTTATGCGGGCCATATAAACCAGTTGAGAACACAACTATGGTGGTGAAGCACTTAAGGTGGAAGAATGGACATGTTTGGTTAAGTGTGAACCAGGGGCGGACTGACCATTTGGAAACTTGGGCACTGCCCAAGGGCCGGGGTCAGTAGGGGGCCCCATGAGATGCCCCTGGTACCTTTTTAATAGGCTTTTTTAAGTTTAGGCAAGGACACAGAGGCCCCATGATCCCCTATTGCCTGGGGGCCCCATGGGTTGTCAGTTGCCCCTGGTGTGAACAGCACATTAAGTGACAGAATATAAGAGGCACAGAGACTGATGTACATGGGCCTTTTTTTACAAATATATTTTTTAGCACGATATATGCAAGATCCGTGTGTTATTGACGATTTTTGATTGTATCGCGCTACACTATCGTTTGTTTAAATTGTAATGTCTGAGATCTGGGACTGCCATTTGTCACACTTATGCAGCTCAGAAATTAAACAAACAACATCTCAGTCGTCTTTAAATGAGCAGACCTGAAAGCTGCCCATTCCAAACCAGAGATTGACTTTAAACACTGGTTATTATGACAGTATTCAAGAAATATCCTATATTTGGGATGGGTATTGGAGCTTACCTGTAGCATCCTCTTGCAGGCCAACATCAAAGGCCAACTTATCAGTCAAAGACCGGGATGTTGTGAGACAACACAGATACTAGATTAGGAAGGAGCAAGATATTGTATATAAAGTACAATCTGTGGTAATAAAAATGGCTAAAAATATCAAATCTTTTAACAGTTTACTGCCATCAGTGTAATTTTTCCAGAAATGAATTCATGTTTGCACAGAACTGTAAAATGTATAATTTATAATATATTTAAGAAGAAAAGAGTTCCCCAAAAGGGGAAGTTCCACTGTAACCCTTCACCCTCCACTCCCTGTTAAGGACTGGCACTTTTGGGGGGGAGCGGGGGGAGGGACGGGGTACCTGATATTGACAGGTACCTGCTACCACTTCTGCTGTGATTTCCTAGTGATCAGAAACGAAAGTAGTCCTCCCCATAGTCTTTTGGGACATTGACAGGTCCCAGAAGACTACGGGACCATTCACATACCGGATGGCAGGTGAACCTCGCCGCTGTGAGGACACCATGGGATCGACGGACAGGTGAGTGTCTGTTTTTTTAAAAGTCAGCTACAGTTTTTGTAGCTGCTGACTTTTATTTTTTTATTTTGGCTGGACCTCTGCTTTAAATCATAACAAACATTAAAATAGAGGTAATGATAGCTCATTTTGCAATGTTAAGCCACTATCCGCCTATAATCACCATATACATTGAGTGGCCTTATTTATCTTGAAAGCCAAATGAATTGATCTTGCGACCTGTGTCTCTATCAGCACATTGCTACCCATGCATTGTATGGGCTCAGTCTACTCCTGTCTCTGGCTTTCTACTTGGTCATCCATATCTCTCTACCCTGGGCTTCTGCCCTCTGCTAACCATGGTTGTATGGGCTCATTCTACATCCGTAAGAAAAATTAATAATAGCGCCTATGGTCAAAATTATATAACTTACTAATAGTGTACCAGCTGCAAAAAATCACCATATATAAAGTGTACCAATAAATAAATAATTTGCGCTAGTAAATGTGTATAAATATATAAATATATATAAAGAATCATCAAATCATAAGTCCAGAAAAAAAAATATATATGCCAATACCACAAAAAAAAATATATATAAAAAAAAACTTTTAAGTGCAAAAAACTTTTGTGCAAAAAAAGTGTCTAAATATGAAAAATTTCACCAAAAAACCTTGATAATATAATGGCAGATCATCCATAAATATATCTTCAGAAACGGAAACTCTGCAATCGGTGTGTTGCAGAGTTTCCGTTTCTGAAGATATATTTATGGATGATCTGCCATTATATTATCAAAGTTTTTTGGTGAAATTTTTCATATTTAGACACTTTTTTTGCACAAAAGTTTTTTGCACTTAAAAGTTTTTTTTTATATTTTTTTTGTGGTATTGGCATATATATATTTTTTTCTGGACTTATGATTTGATGATTTCTTTATATATATTTATATATTTATACACATTTACTAGCGCAAATTATTTATTCATTCTACATCCGTGTCTAGCTTTTTCTATATTTTCTACCTGGGCCTCTGTCCTCATTTTTTTAAAATTACAATTGGACTCCACAAGAAAGCTTTTCTGTAACAGCAGTAATTGTTCCTGTGTTTACTACTAGCTGCTATTCTGATTACTTCCCTGGCCTGTTTCCCAGTTCCTGTTGTTTCCCTGACTTTTGCCTCAACCTTCTACCTACATTTCACATTTGCCTAGGTGCTGCCTGACTTGCCAAATCCACTGATGTTTCAACTCTGTCTGAACAACTCATTCCCAGGGGCGGATTGACCATTTGGAAACTTGGGCACTGCCCGAGGGCCTGGGGTCAGTAGGGGGTCCCATGAGATGCCCCTGGTACCTTTTTCATAGGCTTTTTTGAGGTTGGGCAAGGACGCAGGGGCCCCATGAGTTGTCAGTCCGCCCCTGATCATTCCCTGTTACTTCTATGGTTGTTACAACTCCCTGATATTTCAGAATGTATCAATCAACTTAACAAAGTAGTGGTCTTTATTGAATATGGCTAAGCACCGCTATGTGTCAGCTGTTTTTATAATGAAGGTTACCATGTGTAAACTGTGCCATTTGACACACCGACTACATGAAACATCAGTATGACTAGAAAACTTTACTAGATATAATTATACTTACCATATCACTGTGGCAGTGTCTCAGAAGAATGGCATGACCGTAGAGTAAAGTTCGGTGCCCCCCACCTTGAGAAGACTGCAAGCCAAATGGGGAAGAGAAAACAACAATGAACGCAATGAATTTTATAGACATCCCCTTCCTGCAATTTTCTCAGTGTCTGTACTCAGCTTTGTTGACAATCAAGAGCTTTGGCCAACTTTACAGAATATTTTGTGTATTAAAGATATTATAGAGCTTTGCTGGTTATAACCCCCATAGTTTTCATGTTTATTTTGGACATCACGAAAGAGTTCTCTAAAAATTAAACCAAATCAAAGTAAGTTGTGAGTCACAAAATGCAAGATTGTGCAGCTGCAACTCATAAAAAACTGGCCACATACATTCAAATTTTGTCAGTCATGCGACTAATCCAAGCATCTCTAGCAATAATCAGGTAGTAAGGTTGTAGTAAAAAAACAAACCATAAAATGTGGCAAAAGAATATTTTTGTGACCATTACTTAGGGATTATCCTCCTTTTCAATCATTTCTGTAAGCATGCATCAAAACAAATTTGGGTGAAAAAGTCAAACTAGTTCAGGGGCAGAACAATTAAGATTAGTCAATATCTCTTCAAAAAAACAGGTGCAGGATTTTCATATGAATGTCTGCTCTAAGGCAGGCCTTACATGTCATACAGTGATTATACGACCCTGTAAATACAGTTCCTTGAAAAAGTATTCATACCCCTTGAAATTTTCCACATTTTGTCATGTTACAACCAAAAATGTAAATGTATTTTATGTGATAGACCAACACAAAGTGGCACATAATTGTGAAGTGGAAAGAAAATGATAAATGGTTTTCAACATTTTTTACAAATACATATCTGAAAAGTGTAGTGTGCATTTGTATTCAACCCCCTTTAGTCAATACTTTTTAGAGCCACCTTTTGCTGCAATTATAGCTGCAAGTCTTTTTGGAGATGTCTCTACCAGCTTTGCACATCTAGAGGGGGACATTATTGCCTATTCTTCTTTGCAAAATAGCTCAAGCTCTGTCAGATTGGACGGACAGCGTCTGAGAACAGCAATTTTCAAGTCTTGCCACAGATTCTCAATTGGATTTAGGTCTGGACTTTAACTGGGCCATTCTAACACATGAATATGCTTTGATCTAAACCATTCCATTGTAGCTCTGGCTGTATGTTTAGGGTTGTTGTCCTGCTGGAAGGTGAACCTCCGCCCCAGTCTCAAGTGTTTTGCAGACTCTAACAGACTTTCTTCTAAGGTTGCCCTGTATTTGGCTCCATCCATCTTCCCATCAACTCTGACCAGCTTCCCTGTCCCTGCTGATGAAAAGCATCCCTACAACATGATGCTGCCACCACCATGTTTCACGGTGGGGATGGTGTGTTTCCGCAACAGATTGCGTTTTGCTTTAAGGCCAAAAATTTTGGTCTCCTCTGACCAGAGCACCTTCTTCTACATGTTTGCAGTGTCCCCGACAAGGCTTCTCACAAATGGGGCTTCTTATGGATTTCTTTCAACAATGGCTTTCTTCTTGCCAGTCTTCCATAAAGGCCAGATTTGTGGAGTGCATGACTAATAGGTGTCCTGTGGACAGATTCTCCCACCTGAGCTGTGGATCTCTGAAACTCCTAGAGTTACCATGGGCCTCTTGGCTGCTTCTCTGATTAATGCTCTCCTTGACCGGCCTGTCAGTTTAGGTGAACAGCCATGTCTTGGTAGGTTTGCAGTTGTGCCATACTCCTTCCATTTTGGGATGATATATTGAACAGTGCTCTGTGAGATGTTTAAAGCTTGGGATATTTTTTTATGACCTAAGCTTGCTTTAACCTTCTCCACGACTTTATCCCTGACCTGTCTGGTGTGTTCCTTGGCCTTCATGATGCTGTTTGTTTACTAATGTTCTCTGACAAACCTCTGAGGGCTTCACAGAACAGCTGTATTTATACTGAGATTAAATTACACATAGGTTGTCTCTATTTACTAATTAAGTGACTTCTGAAGGCAATTTATTCCACTAGATTTTAGTTAGGGGTACTAGAGTAAAAGGGGCTGAATACAAATGCATGCCATACTTTTCAGATATTTATTTGTAAAAAATTTTGAAAACCATTTATCATTTTCCTTCCACTTCACAATTATGTGCCACTTTCTGTTGGTCTATCACAAAGAATCCCAATAAAATACATTTAGGTTTTTAGTTGTAACATGACAAAATGTGGAACATTTCAAGGCACTGTAGGATTTACCAAAATTGTGCACTGAATGGGCTTACCTAAAGAATCTGCTTAGTTTTGATACAATCAGGAGATTGTACAATCAGGCCCTAAGGCTGCTTATAGACAAATGCATCACAGATAGAAACAAACTAAAAGACTTCTGCTTTTATTAGCATGTGCTTATGAAATTAACATTTGTTAATGCTCACCTATACTTAGAGCTATGTTAACAGCATTGTTGGCACACATAACACAGTAACAGGATTTACCTGTACTTACTATATACCTTTACTGGCAAAAAGAAAGCATCAGGCTCCTTCCAATGCTGAGCTAAAAGCTTCAGGAAAAGTTCAGCCATTCGTAGCTTTGATCTACTCACTGAGCACATAACCAGATACCTAGAGATTTGGTAAGGTGTAGGGATTTGGTAAGGTGACCAACACTGGAGGGTCTGAGGCTGCTTTTTTTGCAGAAAATGTATCTTAGCCATTCAAATACTCTATTTATCCTTACCACCAAGACTGTTAACATAAGTCTGCTTTAAGACCTGCATTGCCAACATGTCATAAGTGAATTACTTGATTTAACAAAATCATTTATGCCCACCCCATTCCAGAGGAACAGCTAGAGCAGTCCTCATTGTTCCTCTAAGAGAGAAGACATTGAGGGTCTTGTGATTAAAACTGACTGAAAAAAGAACTGTACGGTGCAAGCACTAATCAGAAGCAATTTTTCATTATTCCACACTGCTCTGAGGACATAAAAAAGGTAAAATCTGACTGGCTATATTAAACTATGAGAACAGCTTTTGCATCTGAAAATTTTGACCCTGATCAGTTGTGTGCCAATTAGATGTAAAGATTACAATGTAAAGTAAAATCATGAATAATTTATTGGAACAATGAAGACTGCTACTATTCAGCACAGCAGAACATTTGTCCCCCACCCCAACCCCTTGCAAGCTGGAGTCCATATTTAGAAATTCCAAGGTCTTCGGCAACTTGGTAAACACCTGTTAGAAAGGAGGTCTGGTTTGTACCATGCAGTGGAGGAAGGAAAGTGAAGGAATCATAAAACAGGAGTCAATGGAGGAAAAAAAACACCTAGTTTTTGTAAGATGTCAGGTCAACAGACGAGGACAAATGTAAACACTTTGGCACACAGGCTGCAAAACAACGAGACCAGCAGACATGGAGTTGGTAAGGTCAACTGTTGGAACCATATCACTCACTAGATCTTTATACAGCTAACAAACTAAGGAGGTTTGGATAATTTTTGTGGCTAGGAATGTCTGAACAGCTGCTACCTTAAACAGCGTCATGTACCGTATCTATCACCTAGAAAAAAAAATATTCCTGTTTTTTTTTTTACTTAAAAAACTATAGATAAAACTGGTGTCCAATTTTTCAAAAGACTTGATACATGTGACTCTGTAGGCTCAAAGTGTACATATAGTTTTCACTTGGGCTTTTGTTTAAGTATAATTACTTTTTTTTTTTCATAGCATAGGGAAGTGTTCATATGGGTGTAAGTTTATATATTTGCTCCTATTTGTCTTGTTGGTTGATTTCCCTTCCCGTTCCTATCCTGGAGATTCAACAGGAAGTGAGGGGAAATTTCTACAAAGTAAAGCTGGGTGCACACAGTTTTTTTTTTTCATTCAAGCAGCGGATTGAACGACAAAAAAAAAAAAAACATCCACACGAGCGAGATGGATGCTGGCAATCCACCTGCTGCGCTATTGTATTCTGACAGAAGTACTCTTATGGTGCCCATACACTAGACAGAAAAACGTTTGAAAATCTGTCATTTGGACAGTCTCATTTTTCATGCAGTAATGGGCACAAATGGAAAATTGTTTTTGAACCAAACAAATTGAAGAAAATGTTTGGAACACTTCTGCCAAATGGACAATAAAGGTTAATGTGTTTCTCGACTGTTACAACTCAAACTGTTCGTACTGCTCATATGTGACAAAACAAACAAAAAAAGGATTAATTTATGTCATTTCATTGATCAATTTATGGTTCGAAAATTGGTCATTACATGACGGCAATTTTACTCACGATTGTGTGTTTGTTTTTCAACAACGTGTTTGAATGGTAATTTGGCTAGCATTGCACTGTCAGAATACACTGATCATGTCTGCAGCTGATTGACTGCAAGCTGCTGATCAAAGGACATTTTCCAAAAGGACTGTATGACAGAAGCCAATCTAATGATCAGCTTCTGTTAAACTGGGAAGGCAACACACAGATTGGAATTCAACCGGTCCCAGCTGAACCGGCTGATTTTAAATCCGTGTGTAGCCAACTTTATTTAGATAGTTGCCACAAGAGCAGATGTCCCAAGTGAAAGATGTGTCCTCACCCATCTGTTTTTAGATAACTTTGGCTTTTCCATCACTTGCTGCCTAATGGTTTGACACTGTTCCTTGTAACAGTGAAGCTGCCTAATAATTAAACTTTGTCTCCTTGCTATTAAAAGTAGCCTGTCAGGGTGGAAATATAACACTGCCATTGTTGAGGCAATGAAAGGTTAGCGGTCATCTGCATTCAGATAATTGATATCAAGCAGTTGACAAATATCAGGCTTCAGGTGAATTTCCCCTCTCCAGCTTATGTGTCAGGCTCCAGCCAAGTAACTAAAGCTAAACAGACCTCCTGTAACCAGGATTCATGACAACAATAGCAGCATTATAGATGTTAATGATGCATAACGATGACGTCCTTCAACTATAAAATTACTTCAGGATCTAAAGGCCAATGGATAAATGCCTCATTCAAGGTAATCTGGCCTAAATATTGTTGCAGGAATAAAACGGATTTGTGTTTCATTATATAATTAATAAATTATATTATGTGCGACTAGTTGTCTTTAATCTTTACATTGAAAGAACATCTGAGTTCCGAAAAGAACCACACGATGAGGGCCAGTCTATTTCTAGAGTGATTTTAAGACAGCTGATTTGAAATCCGAGTGCAGAAGAATCTCGCACTGTGTAAAAGAGGAGCTTGGTCACAGAATCTCTCCTAAGGATTTGCTCCATCATGAATTTTAGTGTCATTGTGAGCCCCAGAGTTAGCAGAATGGATATAATGTATTACTGAGACTAAAGGCGGGAGCTGACAGGGTGGCAATGGAGGCTGGAGGCAAAGGGAGATAAGGAACAAAGTTTTTACAACTTGGAAAGTCCCTGTCTTGAGTATGGAGTGATGAGGTTCCACCAGCAAACAAAAGAAGGGGACAGGAAATCACAGGAGGGATCAGAGCAAGGCCACAAAACATACCCACTTATCCAAATTGGGCGCCTAGCATGAAGACCAAAAAAAAAAAGCCAAAACAAAAGACAAAAGATATTATGTCACAAACAGCTCAGCAAGGCAGCTTCATAGAATCTGACATTCTGAGACAATCTGAACAACAAGACATTTTGCATCCTGCACTGACTAGGTCAAATGAGGACGAAACACACTGTCTATACATACATGGACATTCTGGTGTCATGCTTCAGAAACCTCAAGTATAAACCACTCACTAAAATGATGGTTAAGTGAATGCCACTTTTTAGAAAATAGATGTATTGGCACTTCTAGCCTGCCCATGATTCACTTAGGCTTGGCTTTGGTAACTGAAGGGCAGGGCAGGCTGTAGGACTCATTGAACCTGTGCTGTATTGCTGCTATTGATGAAGACAAGTTGACTAGGTGTGGTCAGGGTTTTGGGTACTCAAGTGCTCATCTACACAGGTAGATATGTGCCATACACAACAGAATCATTCCAAGGACCAGCACAACAACTCAAAAAGTAGGAAGCAAACTTATTTTAAATATACCCACGTTTCTTATAGCTTTCCCATAATCCCTTACAGCTAGCTCAAAGAATGCTTTCAAATGCAGGCTTACTTTTTAGTAAACTTTTTGCTACCCCCGCTGTCCAAAAGCTAACCTACTTTAGCTGTCAACCCAGCTGCTTACTTACTTACATAGCACCAATGAGGTCTCCTCTTGTGTTTACAGTATGTCAAATTAAAATCTTCAGCAATGGATGACATGGGGAGAACCATGAACTGAGGATATCTCTCATATAAAGTCTCAAGTCTTTGAGGACCAAGGGAAGTATTTGTCCCATGTTTTTAATTGCGTGTATCATATGATTAAGAACTTAAAATACTTTCTTTTTTTTTTGTTTGAGTCAAAATATTAGTTCTTTTCAACAAATGGATCTAGCTTTTTGCCAATTATTTCATGAAATGGCTTAGTTGCAGCAACTGAAGTGTACAAACTTTAAAAACAAAAAACTGATTCTTTTGGCATTCCGTAATCTTATGGTCCTGAAAGGGTTAAGGGACATAGGCCAGGGAATGATGAACAGTATATACAGTAAATGGACAGACTGTAAACAATGGAGGAGGCCACAGCAGCACTAAGGAAATAAGTGGTTAGGCATTTGGCTTGGGGGTATATGGGGTCTGGAGTTGGGTTATCAGATATTTAGCTTTAAGTACTATAGAACTGTCCTCTTTTTTTGCTGGTCACTTTTAAAGGAAATAGGAATGGCTTTTGGTCAAGACATTTTCACACTCATGTCTTACACCTTTTTTTAAATACAAAATATTGTTTTACTAATAAAGTTTTGATATAGGGTCTCATCAAGAATTGCTTTACAGAGCATTCTGGATTTTCTAAAGAGTGCATCTGTAGCTTCGCCCTTAGTGTCTGTCTCTCTCTTATTAAAACTCCACATACAGCAGAGAAAAAGGGAGACTCATTCTGATGCTTTTGTGTAATTTAGGCTTCAGCTATTCAACACTTTGAATGACAGGCAAGCATCCTTAAAGCAGTTAAAGCTAGCCTGGTGAACACGTAAAGGAGAGCCTAGTGCTCCACTTAGTGGCTAGTAATAGCAAATGTGAAATAATGATATGCATTATTTCATATTTACCTGATTAAAAAAGAAAAAAATTTAAACATTTTTCTTTTTTTTATTCCTACACATAGTAAATAAAGAAAATATAAAGAAATATATCAAGCATTTCCTGTAAACGCTAGACTCTAGCCAGTGATTTTGTGCATACAACATTCCTCTCTCAAATGTAAAACCTTCGGATGTAATGTTTCCTGTAAAGTGCAATGTGGGCAGAGCAAGGGCAACCTGTGGCCCATGCAGAGCAACACAACAGGTTTGCTTTATTGATGGTGCCTGCAGCCAATCTATTTGGCCATTGAAAGTAAAGTGAGCTAGCTTTGTGTAGTCTCATAGATACAGCTTGGAGCTTATAGAGGCTAAGGGTTCTCTCTGATTCTCTTTGGAAGCACCAAGTATCCAATCCTGACAGCTTGGGGAGTGGAGGAAATGCAAGTATTGCCTGCTGGTAGGATCACCAATAAAGTGATAATAAACCCTTTCATATGCGCACTGAAGTGACTAGCCTCAAATCATACAAATCCTCCCACATAAGTTGTATTGGTTTATTTGCAGTCTTCTCTCCTTCGCAGTCTTCTCTCCTTCACAGTCTCTCAAAGTACACAAATTACATGTTATTTCTCAGCTTCCAGGTGGCAAGGGGTGGGATCTGATGTTACACAGCACAGAGCAGAGAGCAAAGTATAATCTGACACCTGAGTGGAGGGATTGGACATACCCCATTCTACACAGCCTCACTGGGAAACATGTACATCTGAGGCTGTCAATCACCTGCTGTGTGCTAGAGGGGAGGGGACCATCATGTATTGCAGATTGCCTGGTGTTGGAAAAAACTGTCTGAAGTGAGAGATGTAGATTTCAGAGAAAGGAGAGAGCAGCCAGGATCCACATTATAGACTGAGGCAAGTACACTTGATATGAGCATATGCTTTGTTCAGTTTTCATTTTAGAGGTTTACAACCATTTTAAAGTAAACCTGATGCTCTGCTCTGCATGGACACAGCACAAGCTGGGGAATTCCTGGCCTGTGGGATGGGGGTTCCCACAGAACCAGAATACGTTTCCCAGAAGATTATAGACAACAATGTGTAGGCATCAGTGGCATCAGATCTGCTGACTAGTACAGTTGTTTTCTTTTAAAAGCAAAGTTTATGAAATTTGGCAAGCAGACTATAGGTGCAGTACAATAGTCATGATTAAAATTTTCAAGCATCTAAACTTTCTTGACAATGAACAAACAATACACAAAGGAAAAAAACATAAAAAGAGAAAGAAGAAAGATACTACATATCTGTAATAGGAAACCTGGTGATACAAAAATGTAAGTTTAGTGAACAACTTAATTCAATGAAGACTTCCTAGAAGGATTTGTAGCAGTGGAGCAAAGTTTGGATATGGTGCAACAGCAAAGCCAGTATGACAACCAACAAACGGAAGGCAAACATGATGCAAGATGTAGGCCAGGCAGAGGAATTCATGAACCATACCTCACTTCCCATCTCCACCGTATTTGCCAGCATTTCCTGCAGGGCTCGAACTGATAGAGACTGCTCCAGAATAAAGCAGCAAATAGCAAGATCTGGAGGTACATTCTAGAAGAAGAGATACACATAGGCATGTTGTGTAAAGGAAACTGGCAATGTAAAAGAGAAGCAGTATAGAAAATAAGGCAGGAAAACTTTAAATAACAGCCAAAAAGACAAGAAAAAATATATATATACTGTATATAAAATAACTTCCATAGATAGCTAAGATTAATATAATAAAAATCATGATTTTTATCATTTTTAAATCTTGGCTCCAGACAATATTTTTTTTCATTTTGGGTTTTGGTTTCTTTTTCTTTGTCTCTGTGGGAGAGATTTCCAATCAGTTTCTGTCCTGACAGTGAGAGAAAATGAAAACAAATCTCTCCAAAAGGAACACAGATGAAATAAAAAACAGGATCTAGTTCCTCTCTGTACCAAAATTACATAAGCTTTGCCCGAAAATGGGCTTTAACCCTTTTACTGACACAGATGTAAGGCTTACGTGGGTGTATGGCTTACAGATGTAAGGCTTATGTGGGTGGGTGGCTTACGTAGTTCTTCCCTGTACCAAAATTAAATAAGCTTTGCCCAAAAATGAGATTTAACCTTTTTACTGACACAGATGTAAGGCTTTCATGGGTGGCAGTAGGGGGGTTTCATACACTCTTGGCTTCTGTCCCACCGACAGGTTTGAGACCCACATGGCCAGTGTTATCAGGTGAAGGTAAGGGAAATCATCTCTTCATTGATCTCCCCTAGCTGCAAAAACCCCATAAGCAATGGTTAATGTCACTTCCGGTTTCAGGTGTCACTTTCCCTGGCTGCTGTGGCATGGGAAGAAGCTTATGGAGTGCAATCTGTGTTCCATTAGCTTCAATGACGGGAAGATAAGACATGCAAAAACCGTTCTGACAGCACAAAGAGTTAAATCAGATTTTTTTAAACCATTACAGTCATTGGATAATAATGTTACCTGAGCATTGGACGTTGATTCCAGGAAGCAGAGGCGATTGCCGAAGCCTTCCACTCCCATGCACATCTTAAGGTTTTCTTTTCGGATTGTAGCACTGCATTGTAGGACCACCACATCCTCCTATTAATTAGACATGAACAAAAATTATAAGAGTTGAACTTGCAAAAACATAACATCATCTATCAATAGATAGTTCACCGTAAGCAAACAACTAAGCCCACCATCAGAACAGAGATGAAGCTTTGGTGGTGCCCTGCACTGAGAGGGAGGAAACTCCAGGCTCATCGTGGAGCTCCCACACTGTTAGTTGCTGTTAGAAGCAGTGTTGCAGAGTGTCAATCAACAGATACTAGAAATGTAGCTTTGTTGCAATACTTTTTATTATTTATTAAAGAAGATTAAAGACTGCACATGTTTCTTACATTACATTTGGTATACCTACCCCAAAGATTTCCACTATGCAGCTAGTATATGTATGTCTTCAACTCTCCATCTATTTTTTAAAGGGAATCTGTCAGGAGGGAGATGTGGGAGCAGACCTTACATACTGGGGACCTAATAGCTGATATTCAAATGCATTTTTTTATGTTAGTGTTTCGTCATGAAGAAAAGAAAGATAAAGGACACAGATGGAACAATCATCTGAACCTTATATTTTTCATTGAATGGATTCCCTTTAAGCTGATGTAGACATAAAATTGCCCAAGAAAAGGAATGGAATATAATAGTAATATGGAGGAAAGGGAAGCAAAAGGAAACGCTAAAGGAAAGCAAGGCAATATTGAGATGAAAGGAAAGGAAGAGTTAAGTAAGAGAGTTGAGAGGAAAAGAAAGGGAAAGAAAGCAAAAGAAAAGATGAAGAAAGGAGTGAGTGAAAAAGGGGAAAGGATACAGTGAAATGGAAAAAGGATTCAGTGAAAAAGAAGAAGGTAAGCAAAAGGAAAATAAGAATGAAAAGAGGAATGAAAAGGAAAAGGAAAAGGGGAAAGGAAAGTAAAAAGGAAAAGGGAAGGGAAGAGGAAAAGGGAGAAGAAAGGAAATGAAGAGGAAAGCAATGGAACAGAAGGAGGACTTAAGGAAGAGAAAAGAGAAAGGAAAGGAAAGGAAAGGGGAATTAAAGAAAAGAAAGAGAAAAAGAATAGAGAGGAAAGTGGAAAAAATTAAGAGGCAATTTAAAAAGAAGAGGGAAGGAAAGAGGAAAGGAAAAAGAAAGTAAAGGGGAAAAAGGAAAAGAGAATGGAAAGGAAGAAGAAAGCAATGTAAAGGAATGATGACTAAAAGAAGAGACAAGGAAAGAGAAAGGAAGAGGGAATTAAAGAAAAGAAAAAAGGGATAAAGAGGAAGGAGGACTAAAGGATAAGGTGAGTAAAAAGAGGAGAAAGGGAAGAGGTAATTAAAGAAAAGGAAAGGAAAGAAGAAAAAAGGAAAGCAAAGGGAGTGGAAAAGAAAGAAAACGGAAAGGAAAGGAAAAGGAAAAGGAAAAGGAAAAGGAAAAAGGAAGGAAAAAAAGGAAAGGGAGAGGAGGGGATCAAACAGAGGTGAAAAGAGAGGAATGAGGATTTAAGTAAAAGGTAAGTAATAGGGAGGAACAGAGGAAAAATTGAAAGAAAAGAGAGAAGAAAAGAGAGAAGAAAGGAAAAGGGAAGGAAAGGAAGAGGAAAAGTTAGGAACCTGAGACAAGGGCATTTTGGAAGAATCATATCTAACAAATGCCCTACATTTCCAAAATACAGCACACATTTTGAGGAGTTATCTCTTGCAATACCTGTCCTTGGAAATCTTCCTAGCTTCCAGTAATGACCAATGTATAAGAAAATCAGTAGTATTATGAATGTTCGCTTCAGGTTTCTAATCTGTTTCATGGCCTTTTTAAATTTTATTTAGAAATTAAAAAGTAATGCATGCAGGCACCTTGAGTCTTAATTTGCTGCCGAGAGCAAGAAGGGAGCTGTGGCAGGAGCAAAGGCTACAGTGGTAGCGTGATTATATATAAGAATTACTACTAATCCTGTACATTATACTGGCATGGCAGCATTCACAAACATATCACTGTTCATTTTTATGCCTGCAATAGCTGTCAGGACTTATGTTAGCACTCAGTAGTGATATAATTCTAGTCCAGTTCTCATGATAATTATGACTCATTTAAGTCATTGCTTATCCTGGTTTAACAGTAAAGTACTTTGAGGTATCCACCCAACATATTCAACATCTACTAATAGCAAAGCTGTCAAGCTTTGGCTGACAAAAAACTTCACATGGACACAACATCATTTATACAAATTCCCTGAAGGATTAACTGTCTGCTGGCATATAGAAGCAAATCAGATTCAAACCTACACCGGAAATTATGTATTATTTAAAAAAGTAGTATGGAATTGAAAGAAAAGTTCTCGGGTGTGCTCAGAGCACAGAGCAGTGACTATCAGTCACCCACTCTATGCTTTGTCCCTCCAGCTCTCACAGGAGAACTGGGCTGTGGGGGGGGGAGCAGCTGGCTCAAGCTCTTGGCGACGCACTATGAGACCGAGTCAGCTACTGTTCCAGGCATATGGGTGGAACACAACATTAAAGTCAGGATTGACCCAGAGCCTGGACTGGGTGACTGATGTCAGCTGACATCAAGCTTTTGCTGGCAGCTTAAAACAGGTCACAGGAGTGCAGAAATAAGTGTACTTCTATGATCCCCAGGAGAAGTATGATGAAAGAGCATTGGCCCTACTTCTCCTATAACACAGGGCACACCCATGACATTGATTTTTGTAGACTTTTCTAAGGATAGAGAATAGCAGTAGCCTTTTGTTATCTTCTCTCTCACTAATTGACTTTCCATATGGCCCTGTCTTAAAAAAGCAGGATGGAGGAGGGGTGGAGTTACTCCTCATAGGGTGCCCATGCGTGGATTGAAATGCAGCTGGTTCAGCAGGGACCAGATAAATTTCAGTCCAGGTATGGGTAGGATGGTTGTACAAAAGTCAATCTACCCATCCACTTCTGTACAACGGGCCTGTTAGGTTTCTTCTGAATTATTAATGCTGCCAGCCATTGCAGTCTCCATGCCATCAGGACATAATAGCTCAATGTAGACATGTGCGGTTTGTTTTGTTCATAATTCGGACAATTTTTTCAATATTCATAGATTTGGATGTATCCCTGATCCTTTCATACAAACAAAGAACATGTGGCCCTTGAGCAGGATATTCTGTTCATTCCCAATTGACAGTTGGCTCTGCCTTTTACCTAGTGGCTGAGAGCCGGAGAAAGCTGCTCCACGCACCCAGCCCAGCACTCCAGTGAGTGCTTGAGGGTAGAGCAAAAAGTGGTGACTGACAGTCATTGCACTCCTCTCTGAGCAGACAAAGAACTGAGTGATCATTGGTCATGTGATGATTCAGTTCTCTGCCTTTGGAGCCGACTTAGGACAGCTGCAGCATGGAGGAGGGTCTGTATATATTTTTTAATCCCATCCTTCTCCTTTAAATGACAATTATATGCAGGTCTGGTTTTTCTCTACTACAACCAATACTCAAAAATTGAAGTTGTGCTATTTTTTAAGGAACAAGGCTTTTTTCAGCTGGAACTTGGTGGAACTCAGTTATACCACCTCTGGCTCAGGCCCTCTGCTCCCTCCTCACTACTATCACTTGTAAACGCAGCTGTCCGGCTTCTGTGTTTACAAGTGAAAGCTTGTCTCCCAAAGGCTCCCACAGATCTGATCTCTGAGCAGCTCCCACTGAGTGCAGGATGGGGACAAGGGAGATGTCACAGTGTCCGTAGAGGTACTAGAGACGTCTGGGTGCTTCAGCTTAATACAGTAACAAAAGTAAAACATATGGAAGACAGTGGAGCTTTTAAAAAAGGGGGAGGCAGTAGGGGGAGGGGGGTGTAGCATGCAGAGTTCAGAGCTGATGAGGGATGAACGAGAGATGTGGATGGGGGATGCAGAGGAAAGCAGCTGTGGAAGAAGGCTGAACTCTGTATACAGCACACCCCTGAAATCTGCACTCTGTATGTAGCACCCCCTTCCCCCCAAACTCTGCACTCTATACGTACAGTGCCTTGAAAAAGTATTCCTACCCCTTGAAATGGTCCACATTTTGTCAGGTTACAACCAAAAATGTAAATGTAGTTTATTGGGATTTTATGTGTTAGACCAGCCTTTCTCAACCAGGGAGCCCAGGCACCCTGGGGTGTCTTGACGTTTCTTCAGGGGTGCATTGGAAAAATGTCTAAAAATTGCCCAAAACCTGTATAAAAGCCAGTGGGTAGAACAAGCCTATCTTTTAGTTACACAAAGCCACAGGTTTTCATTGCGCACCATTACGACCTTCTAGCTGCTGGCGTCCTGACAACCAATGACATCATCAGATAAGGAGGATGTCGTCTGCCTGCACAGCATCCTAGTTTGACCTTCCCCTGCCTCTCTCCATCAGTGCTAGCATTACATTAACTCAGTGATGGAGAAAAACTGAGGAAGAGGAGAGAAACACTGGAATACTACTCAGTACCAGTGTGCAAAAGTGTATTTGCTTTGGAAGAATAAATCACCTCTAATGTTGGGTGTTCTATATATGTGGACGTTGCTGCGTTATACAAAACTATTAGAATAGTTTTTCACATTTTAGAATGGGGTGCCCTTTTGAAATTATGGATAGTCGAGGCACCCCATTTTAGAATGGGGTGCCTCAAGACTGTCCATAATTTTAAAGGATGCCTCGGGACCGTCTATAATTTTAAAGGTTGCTTTGACTGAAAAAAGGTTGAGAAACACTGTGCTAGACCAACACAAAGTGGCACAAAACTGTGAAGTGGAAGGAAAATGATAAATGGTTTTCAAATGTTTTTACAAATAAATATCTGAAAAGTGTGGCGTGCATTTGTATTCATCCCCCTTTATTCTGATACCCCTAACTAAAATCTAGTGGAACCAATTGCCTTCAGAAGTCACCCAATTAGTAAATAGAGTCCAACTGTGTGTAATGTAATCTCAGTATAAATACAGTTGTTCTGTGAAGCCCTCGGAGGTTTGTTAGAGAGTATTAGTGAACAAACAGCATCATGAAGGCCAAGGAACACACCCGACAGGTCAGGGATAAAGTTGTGGAGAAGTTTAAAGCCGGG